CGTCTACAACGACAACGGCTCCCGCTTTATGTTTTTTTGCAATGTATCCCGAGACACCCTTGGCAGAGAGGCCCCCGAACGCAGGAACGGCGCTCTCGCTCGAGCCTTTTTCGCAGTTCAGTCAACTTGGCGGAGGCCCAGCCGCGACGACAAGGGCTCCTGGTCGATACTTCCACGATATACTCCGAGAGCCCCTGGCTAGGAAGGCACCCGAGTTGAGGAACGGCGCTCTCGCTCGAATTTTTTCGTAATTCAGGTAAGTGGTGGAGGCCCAGACACGGCGACAAGGGTTCCCGTTCGATATTTCTCAGTATGTATTCCGAGAGCCTTTGGCCAGAGAGGCCCCCGAACTCAGGAACGGCGCTCTCGCTCGAGATTTCCTCGCACTTCAGTCAGCGGCTGACAATGAAGATATTCTTCCCGAAAGGGGGTGCGATCGAAGACGAAGTGGGCGGGTGTCGAGGGTTGGGGTATGCAGAATGCAAGACACGCGTGCCAACAAGAACGAACAGTCTTAACATGATTGTTGTTGTTGTCGTTGTTGATGTGGTTGAAGTCTCACTCTTGAGAAATATATTTTACTGATGGCCCCCCTCTGGCGCACATTGTATTTTTCCAGGGGCCCGCACACGGTTATTTTCCAGGGGAAATCTTAAGGGTCAAACTTGCCCCCTGGCCTTGACTACAACAACAACGGCTCCCGCCCGATGCTTCCCCACCATTGATTCCACAATCGCGCTCTCGCGAGGGACTTCCTCACAATGCGTGCGGGAATTGCGCTCTCGCGCGGGACTTCTTCGCAATTTATTCAGACGCCGCGCCCTCGACACTCATGAATCACGCTCTCGCTTTGACTTTTCGTGCGATTCACTTGGGAATTGCGCTATCGCTCGAGATTTCCTCGCGATTCATGCAGGACGCCCGCTTCAGCAACCCGCCTGCTCGTCCTTGCCGCCTGGGCCCGCTTTCCGGACCCGCACGCTATGTGACTGCCCCCCCGATCAGCACGTCTGGTTCTGCCACGTGTTTTCTGCACCTGGCTTTCTCCTGCTCCCCCTTCTCCCTCTCCTTTCCATACGTATTCGTTTCCTCTGTTTTAGGGGCTGCGCTAAATGCGCGTGGCAGGTAAGGAAGATATATCCCCGATGGAGTACGATCGAGACGAAGAGGGCGGGTACCGAGGATTTGCGATACACGTGTTGAATGGCACGCGAGCAGATAGGAACGAACAGTCTTATACTGATTTTGTTGTTGTTGCTGCTGCTGTTTGGTATGCTTGTTGTGTTGTTGTTGTTGTTGTTGTTGTTGTTGTTGTTGTTGTTTTTGTTGTTGTTGTTGCTGGTGTTGTTGTTGTTATTCTTCTTGTTGTGATTGTGTTTGTTGTTGTTGTTGTGGTTGTGGTTGTTGTTGGTTGGTTGTTCGTGGTTGGTTGTTGGCTGTTGGTTGTTGGCTGTTGGTTGTTGGTGGTTGGTTGTTGGCTGTTGATTGTTGGTTGTTGTTATTGTGGTGGTTGTGGTTGTGGTTTGGTTGTAATGGTGGTTGTGGTTGTGGTTGTGGTTGTGGTTGTGGCTGTTGTTGTCGTCGTTGTTGTGATTGTTGTTGAGATTGAACTCTCTCTCTTGAAGAATAAATCTAGTTGATCCCCCCCCCCACTGGTGCACATTGTGTTTTTCAACTGAAGCGCCCCCCTCGGGGCTCGCACCCTGTTTTCTATCAGGGACAGTCTTCATGCTCAAACTGTACAGGAATTGCGCTCTCGCGTGGGAATTCCTCGCAGCCCATTCAGACGCCGCGCCCTCGACACTCAGGAATCACACTCTTGCTTTGGCCTTTCTTGCGATTTATCCGTAAGGGCTTCGCCCCCTGCCGCTGGCCCCTTCTCTCTTTCATATCGGGATCTGTCAGCGTCGTGCCAGTGCGTCTCGGCGCTGCCTTGGCGCATCTGGGAACATCATGCGGGGGCGGATCGGATATAATAGGAATCATCAGCGCATCTTGAGACGTTGCGGCCCATCCCGCCACTGTGCCTGAGTTGTGGGTCTGAGGCCTTTTGTCTATGTGTTGGGGTGTCATGTGGAGCCCCGAGAGGGCCTCTTGGAGGCGGTTTGGGCGCCTCTTGGGGGCTTCTTGGGACCTCATGGGATATCTTTTGGGCCTCTTGGAGGCCTCTTGGGCACGTCTTGGGCGCCTCTTGGGGCCTCTTGGGTCCTCTCGGCGGCCTGTTGGGGCCTCTTGGGGGCTTCTCGTCGGGGCATAAATACCGGTTCGTGGTCCCCTGCTTGGGCCCCTCTTAGGGGCCGTCTTGGGGCCCTCTTGAGCCATCTTGAGCGCTCCTTGGGCCATCTGGGAGCCCTCTTGGACCGTCCTGGGGCCCTCTTGGAGGCGTCTTGGGCTGTCTTGGGGCGGTGTTGGGAGTTTCTTGAGCCGTCTTGGAGCGTCGGAAAGCCGAAAATGCGAGAAGGCCAAAATCCTTCAAAAACCTTTGTAAACTCTACGATTTTGGCCTTTCGGAGCTTTGGAGCGCTCTTGGGTCCTCTTTTGGCCTTCTTGGGCCGTCTTGAAACCATCTTCGGGCGCCTTGGAGCACTCTTGGCCTCGGCAATACGAAATCGGCCTATTTTGCAGAAAGGTTTATGGCTTCGGGGACGTGAATATGGTGTAATTTACAAGAGTTTGTTGCCTCGGGGACGCAAGCATTGCATAATTCACAAGGGTTTGTGGCCTCGGGGACGCGAACATTGAGTAGTTTACGAGGGATTCTGGCCTTGGGGGGGCGAATCTCTTGTATTTTTATGTGTCCCAGGCCCCCCCGGGAATGCAGCTAACGCGATCCGGGCGTTGTGAATTGGCCCCCCCCCCGCGCGGACTTCAACAATTTACAGTAGGAAGCAGAAACCAGGACTGTAATATTGCATTGGAGATTTGCAACTGGTGCAGGGAGCAGCAACTTCGTCGTACAGCCTGGTGGCCCCACAAGGGGGCCGCCGGACTTGGGAATCGCGCTATCGCTCGAGACTTCCTAGCGATTCATGCAGGAGTTACGCTTCAACAACCCGCCTGCTCGACCTGGCCGCCTGGGCCCACCTTCCCGACCCGCCCGCTGGGGTCTGCCCGTCCGATCTGCCTGTTTGGTTCTGCCACGTGTTTTCTGCTCCTAGCCCCCCTTCTGCTAATTTCTCTCGTGCTCCATCTTTCTGCTCCCCCTTCCATTCGTCCTCTCTTCCCGTGTTTCAGGGGCTGCGCTTCCTGCACGTGGCAGGTAAGGACGATATACCTCCAAGGGGGTACGATCGAAGACGAAGGGTGAGCCGCCTGAGAGTGTCATGGTGCTGATCCCTCCCATCGACCCGAGCTGCTTGGCCGAGCGCGGTCATCAAGAGGTGGAGGTGGGGCGCGCGCTTATCTGCCGCTGCTGTGCATCCCTCTCGACACGACTGCGCGTGTGTGTGTGTGCGTGCGTGTGTGCGTGTGTGTGTGTGTGTGTGTGTGTGTGTGCGTGTGTGCGTGTGTGTGTGTGTGTGTGTGTGTGTGTGTGTGTGTGTGTGTGTGTGTGTGTGTGTGCGTGCGTGCGTGTGTGTGTGTGTGTGTGTGTGTGTGTGTGTGTCCCAAGTGTGCGCTTCGCGCGATGTGCCGTGGCTTCTCCAAGGAGGATTGCCGCGAGAGGGCGCAGCTGGGTGCGCTGGCCAAGGGGCTGTCTCGCTTCCACTCCAAGACGGGTGCCCCGCTCGTTTCTCTTTCGATCCCCTCTCCTCCTTGCCCCCCTCCTCCGCCGCAGGTGGTGCAGGGTGAGTAGTCGCCGTCGACCTCTGGATCGCAGCGTTCGGGAAGCCTGGCACTCTGTGCTTCGTAGCGCCACCCAGTCAGCCCGTCACTGGCCCAGCCTCTTGGCGATCCGCCGAACCGCCCCTTCGAGGGCTCAGGGTCAGCGTTGGTAAAGGTTATGCGAGTGTTTTCGTTGTTTCGTTGACATATCGGTATGGATTCTGGCTCCTCATGGGTTGCTCCTCCCTGTCGCAGCCCCAGTCGTGTCCGCAGGGCGGGCGGTGCGGTTCGCTTGAGGTTTCTTCACCACCACTCAGGATCCTGAAGCTTACAATCCGGAACAGTTTCAAGGATGGGTGGGGGGTTGTTTTCAAAATGGAGCTATTCCCCAAGCCCCGCTCACTTTCGTCCTAAACTTTTGCAGCGGTTTCAAGGATGGAGGGCGGGCCGTTTTCAGAATGGAGCTCTCGCCCCAGCGCCGCGCTTATTCGTTCCGAGCGTTTGATGCAGGCCCTTGTCGAAATCGAGCTGTCGCCCCAGCGCCGCGCAGCACGCTGGTGTAATACAGCGCAGCCGCTTCGACGGTGGAGGGCAGCTTTTTCCAACGTGTGACCCTCGCCTCCGCGCCGCGCGCGCACTCGCTCTCACATGTTGCAAGTTTGTTTTTTTTTTTTTTGGGGGGGGGGGTGTCATTTTTTTTGGTTGGCTTCTTTCATGTTGTATAACGGGAGCCCTCGCCTGGGCGCCGCGCACCCTGCACCGGTGGGCACATGATGCGCGTGCCTCGTGGGTGGGGGGAGTGGGCCATTCCCGGAGCGGGGCCTCCGCCCTCGCGCCGCCGCTTTTCTCGAGCACGTCTGCAACATGCCTGAACTTTGAGGGCGGTCTGCAGGGACGGATGGCGAGGGGACTTGCGACGGGAGGGCGTGTTGCAGCATCGCTGATGCATGTCGGGTGTGCTCTGGTCCTCCTCCCCCTCCTCCTCCTCCTCCTCCTCCTCCTCCTCCTCCTCCTCCTCCCCCTCCTCCTTGCCCTCCTCCTCCGTCCTCCTCCCCAGCCGTCCTTGTCGTCTGCTGCCCTCCCTTCCCCCCCCCTCCCCCCCCCCCCGGGCAGGGCCCAGCAGAGCAGAGGCCGCACTTCCCGTGGGCCGCCGCGCCCCTTCGACCAGCACAGAGCCCAGCGCTGCCGCCCTCTGTCCCGCGGCCGGCCGGCCGGGCGCCTCCCCTCCGCCGGCGGAGGTGCACAACTCCGAGGACCTGGACGAGAGCGGCCGCCCCCACCCCCGCCCGGGCGGGCCCCGCGGTCGGCCGGGCGGGCTCGAGGAGGTGGAGGAAGAGGGGGACACAGAGGAGGAGACGGAGGAGGAGGAGGAGGAGGAGGAGGAGAGGAGGAGGAGGAGGAGGAGGAGGAGGAGGAGGAGGAGGAGGAGGAGGAGGAGGAGGAGGAGGAGGAGGAGGAGGAGGAGGAGGAGGAGGAGGAGGAGGAGGAGGAGGAGGAGGAGGAGGGAGGAGGAGGAGGAGGAGGAGGAGGAGGAGGAGGAGGAGGAGGAGGAGGAGGAGGAGGAAGAGGAGGAGGAGGAGGAGGAGGAGGAGGAGGAGGAGGAGGAGGAGGAGGAGGAGGAAGGAGGAGGAGGAGGAGGAGGAGCCCCTCCCTGAGCCGGCCCAGGAGCATTGCAAGAATGCCCCCTGGCTCAAGCAGCTGCGATCCACCTTATTTCGCTTCCCCAGGCCTCCGACGCATTGTCTCTTTCCAGCGGAGTTCCCTGAGTTTGGCCTCGCCCACGACGGATCCGCGGCGAGAAGCTGACCCCAGGAAGGGCTCGGGAGCTCTGGGGCCGCGGGTTGACACATCAGATCAGCGGATGTCAGGGTCCTTCGCCGTGAAGCAAGCGGGCCCCGAGGGAAGCGGGTCCTGCGGCTTCTGCCCGCTCTCGGGCTCTCGGGGCAAGCCCTGGGCCGCGGGACCGTCCAAAAGCGGGATCGGCTGCAGGACCCGTCCCAGGGGAAGGCCCCAGGGCCCAGGCCCTTCACCTCGTGGCCTGTGTGCTTCGTGCCAACCTCCTCTCCCTTCCCCTCTTTTTTCCTCCTCCGCCTCTCTAGGTCCCCTAGATGAGGTCCGAGTAGATGGGATCGGAGGACCGCGCCGTATCGTCGATGCATCTGCGATGCGGCTCGATGTGGAGCCGGATTTTCTCCACGCTGGCGTCGCCGATGCATCGCCGAGGTCGCCGATGCGGCGCGATCCTCCGACCCCATCTAGGAGGCCTCTAACTATCTAGGAGGCCGCTGACCCTATCTGGGAGGCCGCTGACCCTATCTGGGAGGCCTCTGACCCTCTCTGGGAGGCCTCCAGCCCTGCCTGGGCATCTGCTCCGACCCTATCCAGGGAGGCCTCCTGGGCCTCCTGGGCCTCGCAGGTCCAGGTGCCCTCCGGGGCTCCTCTCCGGGCGCGCCTCGCCGTCGGCGCGCACTTCTCGCCCGCGGCGGGAGGCCGGCGGAGGGCCGGCGGAGAGCGCCGGCGCGGAGGCAGAGCGACGGCGGGGCTGCACAGGTGCGCCTCGTGCCCGGGCGTCGGTGCGCACGTCGGTCGCGCCGCGCTGCTTGCTCGGTGGTTGCCGTCGCCCCCCGCGAGACTTCCCGGGCAGCGGGGGCCGCGTTCTGAAGGTCGGGGGCGGAAAAGAGGGGGGTGATGACTAGGGGGGGGTGGATATCATGGCGGGGGCCATGATATCTCCCCAGATTTCGTGGCGCCTCTTCTTATTTCATTACGTCCCTGGCCCCCCCGCTGGGCCGCGCACATGCCCGCCGGTCATGATTTCCCCCCCCCCCCCCCCTCTTGGACACCCCCCTCTTTGCCGCCCCCGAGAGAGGGGATGCGCGGGTGAGGCAGCAAGCACGTTTGGGTTTTCAGGTCTTCGGGACTCGGCCAGGGGTCCCCAAGGGGAACGGACGCCGTCGCCTCGTGCCGCCAGCTCCCGGCAGGGCTGGCTCGTCGTCGTCGTCGTCGTCGTCGTCGTCGTCGTCGTCGTCGTCGTCGTCGTCGTCTTTCTCCTCCTCCTCCTCCTCCTCCTCCTCCTCCTCCTTCTCTTCCTCAAGGCTCAAGGCAGCAGGTTCAAGGCGGCAGGCTCAAGACAGAGTAGCCTAGCAATGATTATGGTGCGTGGGTGTTCGCCAGCCGATGTAGCACATGGATCGCGCGAGGGACTGAGGGGTGAGTTGCGCCGCAGTGCCATCTCAACACTCTTTCAACCATCAGCGACGTTCACTGGCCATCGAACGAAAAGGCAATTACATTGTACGCTTGCAGGAAGAAGGATTCTAAGTGTCTTGGCAGCGCCAGATGACTTTTTATGAGACTTTGTCGTCGCAGTGTATGACTGCAGACCAGAAACATACGTTTAAACACGTGCATGATGACTTACATTGGACCTTGAGAGAGGACAGGATTGAATCAAGCTGGAATGCTGTGAAGCTGTTCAACATGAACGTGGTGGAGTGAAACAAAGATCTATGTATAACATGCTGCGATGAATGACAACTAAACGCTTTCTTCGACTTTGGAGCAAGAGCTCACACATTGCAAACATACACGTTATATCTTTTGCTGGCCTCTTCCCTCATATTCGGGCCGCGTGGCCGGGAATAGACGCACTTGATGGCGAACTTGTTCATTGTCGCGAAGCGGCGGAATCATTCTGTGACGCATCATCCACTCCGCCAGGCGAACGGGTCATACATTTAAGTATATATGGACCTGCCAGATAACGGTATGACATCTCAACGTATTCCTTACGTCGTTGTCATTTGCGTAGAATCAGAGTGCTGACATGTATGCTTCTTGCGGACTGGTTCGAATTCGTCTTGAATCGGGGCGGTGCTTGGCATATGTTTGTGCAAGCGTCGTGCATCGGATGACCCCGCGTTTTCTTTATATTCTGCACGCTTGATACTCGATGTAAAGACGGATGTAACAGTAGAGGTATCGGCATGGTTCGACTTTCGTGCGATCGCGTGCAGGATCAGTTTTATGCTCGCAACCACTCTTGAAGAGCTCCGTGGACCTCCGCACCCGCGAAAGTGAATAACCGAACCGCGGCTACGGCCGCCCCGCGCAGGCCGAAGTCGGCCGGTCCCGCCACCTGTAGGGCTTTTCTCCTCGCGTCTCGTCTCGTCCCTTTTCCTCCTCCCCTTTCCTCATCCTCTTCCTCCTGCTCTCGGGTCGGACGAACGGCAGGAGCCATTTCGACTCGATAGGTCCGATTCGACTCTGATCGAATCGACTCTGCAACCCTTCCGATCCGGCTCAGCTTTCTGATCCGACTTTCTTCCGTCTCGGTTTGCAGAGGGCAGATTCGATCTTCCGATTCCGGCAGATCGGACCGATCAGATTCCGATTCGACTTCCTCTGGAGGAGCAGGGGAGAGGACCAGGAGATGGGGGGGGGTCCAGAGGGAGGAGGAGGAGGAGGAGGATCAGGAGGCGCCGTCGTCAACGCCGCCGCCGTCGTCAACGTCGCCGTCGTCATCGCCGTCGCCCGAGCCCGCCGGGGTGGTCTCTTCGACGACGCGGGGCGCGGCGCCTTCCGCAGCGGCGAGCTGCTTCGCCCCCGCCGCCGCCGCTGCTGGGGCGCCCGCCGCCGCCGCAGGGGGCGCCTGGCGTCGCCGCCGCCGGGGCGCCTGCCATCGCCGCCGCCGTCGCCGCTGCCGAAGGGACGCCTGCCCGCCGGGGACGCCCGGGGACACCTGCTGCCCGCCGGGGACGCCTGTTCGGGACTCCCGGGGACACTGCCCAGGACGCCTGGGACGCCCCGGGGACACCAGCCCGGGACGCCTGAGGGCACCTGCCCGGGACGCCCGGGGACGCCTGCCCAGGACGCCCGGGGACGCCCGCCGGGGACGCCCTCGGAGGCCACCCTGGACGCCCGTGGGCATCGTCGTCGTTGTCGTCCACCGCGATACGTCTTCCAAGGTATCCGTCGCTTTCCCTGCGCTGGGGTCGCTTCGATTCCGATCCGATTCCAATCCGTCTCCAAAGAATTTGTTCCGAGTCGCTTCTGATCTGGAGCCGATGCGGCGATCGCTCATTGAACACCGATTCCAACATATTCAACGCGATTTCGATTCCGATCTGGCTTCGCGATTCGATACTGGTTCTTACTGAAAGGTGGGGATTGGTGGACCGATTTTCCACCACCACCACTATCATAGGTAGGAAATGGAGGTTGATGATGATGATGCTGATGCTGATGATGATGGTGACGATGATGATGCTGCTGATGATGATGATCATGATCATGATCATGATGACGATGCTGATGACGATGCTGATGATGATGCTGTATGTGATGATTATGGTGATGGTGATGATGATGATGCTGATGACGACGATGATGCTGCTGATGATGATAATGATGATGAGTATGATGACGATGATGATGGTGATGATGATGATGATGATGCTGATGACGATGCTGATGCTGCTGCTGATGATGATGATGATGATAATGGCGATGATGATGATGATGACGATGATGGTGGTGGTGGTGGTGATGATGATGATTGATGATGATGATGATGATGATGATGATGATGATGATGATGATGATGATGATGATGAGGAGGAGGAGGAGGAGGAGGAGGAGGAGGAGGAGGAGGGGAAGGACCTCCCATCCTCCCCTCTCCCCGTCCTACCTATGGTAGTTGTGGTGGAAAATTGGCCCGTCAGGGATTGGGAACGGGAGGGTTACGTTATCCGTTGCGTGCGGCCGGTTTCAGCGCGGCCGCAGGGCCCCTTTCTCGTGACAGCGGCGCCTCTGGCGCTGAGGCGCCAAGGAAGTCAGCTGCGTGAGCGGATCCGCTGCCGCCCTATCTCCAGCCCCTGAGCGTCCGAGCCGATCCTCCTCTTGGGCAGGGACAGGGGAGCTCAGGGTGGGGCAGATCTCATCGCTGAATGTCGCTGAAGGAGGGAGGGGTAACAGAGGGCGGAGGGAGGATATAGGAGGGATGATGGGGAGGCATGAGGATGCAGAAGCGGGGTAGGATGAAATAGGGAGGAGGTGGAAGGGACCAGGATTGGAGGGAGGGAGCTCCTATTTCCTCCTCCCTCCAATCCTGTTTCCCTCCAAGTCTAACTCCTATCCCCTCCTCCCTCCAATCTCCTCCCTCCAAGCTCCTGCCTCTTCCCCCTCCTCTTCCCCCTCCTCCTCGTCCTCCTCCTCCTCCTCCTCCTCCTCCTCCTCCTCCTCCCCTTCCTTATCATTTTCCTTATCCTCCTCTGCCTCCTCCTCCTCCTCCCTCTGGGCTCCTGCCTCCTCCCTCTTTCCCTTCCTCCACAACTCCGACCTCCCTCTCCCGTGGTCCAGTGGCGTTGCTCCCCCGCGGTTGCCGCACGGGCGTCGCGCGCGCACGAAGGCTGGGCGCAGTTCTTCCTGTACCAGACCCTGTACGCCGTGGACGTGGACCGCTCCCTCCCGCTCGCCAGTGCTCGCCGGGCGGCAGAGCGCTCGGGGGTGGGGGAGGCGGGGTTGGGGGCAGGCGAGCAACGAAGCAAGGCGGGCTCGTCTTCGCCGACACTGGCGCGCGAGCGTCCCGCGTGAGGCTGCGCATCGGCGCCCTCGTCTCCCCTCGGTGTTCCACGCCGGAGGCCCGCGCCAGGTCGCCGCGCCAGGTCGCCGTGCCACCTCGTGCAGGGCCCGCTCGTGGTCGTGGCCCAAAGGCCTTCGCAGGGCCGCGGCGGGGCTCCTCGGTGAGGCCCCCGCGCCCTCCGAGGAGGCCTCCGCCCGCCCTGCCCCTTCTCCCCCCCCGGGCGCGCGGCCGAGCTGCGCGGCCGCCTGGCGGCGCGGCACAGGTGGCCCAGGGTAACGTCAAGCCGGGCCTGTCCCTCCACGGGAGGAGTGTTCAAACATAATCAGAAAGTCGTCATTTTTTGTTGTTGTTCTCCCCCATGTTTGAGCATTTTTGGAGTATTGTTGGACTATGTTTGAGTTTTCCTCCAAAGTGCCCCTGTAGGGGGACACGCCCGCTTCAAGGGTATCGTCAGGGGGGGGACGGGCTCAGGGGCCGATGCGCCGTCTCCCGCTCGCCGTCCGATCTCGCCGAGGGGGGCCCGGCGGCCCGACACCCCGCCGAGGAACGCCTGGACGCGCTGCCGGGGGCCGCTCGCCGAGGCATCGGCGAGGTGTCGACGGGTCCAGGCCGATGCTTTCCACCCCTAGCCTTAAGTCGGGCCTGTCCCTCTACAGGGAGGATGCTCCCAAATAGTGGAAAAATAGTCTGGGGACGATTTCTTGATTGTTTTTTGACCATTTGGGGGTATTTTTTGAGTGTTTTTCATTGTTCGCCCAAAATCCCCCTGTAGGGGGACAGGCCCGACCTACGCGGGTCGGCTCCGGAGCTTCTGTGAAATATCGGCAGCAGTTTCTTGCCACCGTTGGCCGAGGCAGGCCGCTTCTAGGGTATGTGGGGCGCCAGCGGTGATTTCGAGCTCATGCCAGGCCCCAACCTTCGATGACGAACGGACAACACACCCTCATACCCGTAGAGGGGGATCGGAGGGAGGAGGACTGGCTGTGAGTATGAGTGCGGGTTGTCGGACCGCGGGGGAGGCTCCCGTTCGAGCGGGGAACCCCATCCGACAACACGCACCCATTGCCCCCTCCGTCCCCCCTATGGGTATGGGCGTGTGTTGTTCACTCGTCATTCAACTCACCACCCACCAAACCACCCCAACCCAACCCGAAGGCCTCAAATTGACCTCCATTTCCAGTGGGGGGGAGTCGGGGAACATCGAGAAAACACATATGGAACCCGTACCCCCCCCAACCCGAAATTCGGGTCTTCGGGTTGGGTTGGGGTGGTCTGGGAGGTAGTCATCAACTCAGTCCGCTCTTCAGCTTCCCTCCCTGCCCCGTCTCCATGCTCCCCCCTCCTGTGCCCCTCGGGCTCCCCTTGCCTCTCCCGCCACTCCCTGCCCCACACCCTTCTCCCAGTCGTCCTCCCCCTCTCCCCCACCCCTCCAGTGCCTCCTCCTCCTCCTCCTCCTCCTCATCTTCCTCCTGCTCCTCCTCCTCCTCCACTTGGATCCGATCGATCCGATCCGATTCGATTCCGATACTCCGACGATCCCATGCGGCCCACTGCTTGCATGGCACTGCTCTGCATCCTGGCTTGGCCGATCCCACCCGACTGGACTACGAGTCTATGCCGATGCACCCTGCTGCGACGCACGTTCCGATCTGATCCTGTTTCCGGATCCGACGCCGCATGCCGAGAACTTTTGGATTGTGCCATTCCGTGCCCTGTACCCCTGTGCCCCGTGCAGACATTTTCATCTCCGCGCGGTCTGCCGTCGCCGCTGGCAGCACCGCGTGTCCCCGCCCTTCCCCCCCCAGGAGAAGCCCAAGTGCGAGACCGAGGTCAAGCGTGCCACGCCCATGTGGATTCAGGACTGAGCTGCGCCGCCTGCGCGCCTTGGCTCACGGAGGTGGCCGACGATGCAGGCTTTTTTTCCTGCTGGCGAAGTCAGTTGTCGCGTGGTGTTTATCCTTTTGCGCCAGGATTATGTGAGGAACCGCGCCATTGGCAGCGTCCTCGCAGGCCTAGAGGTTGACACCAACACCAATATCGGCGGTGTGCCTCCACCGAGGGAAGAAGATCCCGATCTCGGTGATGGCGAGAATATTCAGGCCTCCAAGGTGGCCGAAAGATTGCCACCAACACCGAAATCTAGGATCATCTTTCCCACGTGGAGGACCCCCCCTTGTGTTGGTGTTGGTGACCATTTCCAGGCCTCCAATTTTGCGCCAGGATTATGGGAGGAGCAGCGCCATGGGCAGCGTCCAAGTTTAGCCACGGCTGAGCGGGAGCGCGGGGTCGCGAGTGCGGGTGGCGCGCTCGAGTTCCTCACTCCTCTCTGCGGGGATCTTGCTGAGCTGCTCACGTTTGCCAGCGCGGGCCGCCATCATTCTTGTTTCAACCCCAGGTGTTTTGATGTTTGTTTGTTTGTCTGTTTGTTTGTTTGTTTGTTCGTTTGCTGGTTTGTTTGTCTGTTTGTTTGCTTGCTTGCTTGCTTGTTTTTGTTTGTTTTTTGGTTCCAGCCCTCCGTTGTTGGGTTCGCGTTCGGAATAGGGCACTGGGGCCGCCTCTTCTTTTCTTCCTTCCTCCTTCCCGCCTCCCTCCCTCCCTTTTTTCTATCTCTCTCTCTCTCTCTTCTCTTGTCCCGCACCTCTCGTACCTGTTTCTGATTTCGCCACCCCAAGGGGGCTGCGATCTGCGAAACCGTATTCACTTTCGAGGGCTGTCGGGGGTCAGCACAGTGGGCACTCGCCGCATATTCACATTAGACCTCGCCACCCCTGGGGGGGGGTGCAATCTGCGAAACTGTCGCCACTTTCGAGGGCTGCTGCTGGGGGGGCAGCATAGTGGGTACTCGCAGCATGTTCAGATTAGACCTCGGCATCCCTGTGGGGCTGCCGTCTGGAAAACTTGCCACTGTCGAGGGCTGCTGGGGGGGCAGCATCGTGGGTACTGGACGCAGATTCAGATTTAACCTCGCCATCCCTGGGGGGCTGCGATCTGCGAACCTGTCGCCACTTTCGAGGGATGCTTGGGGGGCCAGAAAAGTGCGTGCTCGCCGCAGATTTAGACCTCGCTATCCCTGGGGTGCTGCGATCTGCGAAACGGTCGCCACTTTCGAGGGCTGCTGGGGTGGCAGCATTGCGGGTACTCGCCGCATATTCAGACTAGACCTCGCCACCCCTTGGGGGCTGCGATCGTCAAACCTGTCGCCACTTTCGAAGGCTGCTGGGGTGGAGCATCTAGTGGATACTGCCGCAGGTTCAGATTTTACCTCGCCATCCCTGGTTGGTGCGATCTGCGAAACTGTCGCCACTTTCGAGGGTTGCTGTGGGGAGGCCGCACAGTAGGTACTCGCCGCAGGTTCAGATTAGACCTCGCCGTCCCTGGTTGGTGCGACCTGCGAAACTGTAGCCACTTTCGAGGGCTGTTGGGGGGCAGCACAGCGGGTAGTCGTTGCATATTATACTAGGCCTCGCCATCCCTGTGGGGCGGCGATCTGCGAAACGGTCGCCACTTTAGAGGGCTGCCGGGGGGGAAACACAGTGGGTACTCGCCGCAGGTTCAGATTTGACCTCGGCATCCCTGTGGGGCTGCGATCGGCAGACCTGTCGCCATTTTCGAGGGCTGCCGTGGGCGGGCAGCATCGTGGGTGTTCGCCGCAGATTTAAATCTCGCCATCCCTGGGGGGTGCGATCTGCGAAGCTGTCGCCACTTTCGACGACGGCAGCGGGTGGGGGGGGCTGCATCGTGGGTACTCGCCGCAGCATATGAGACCTCGCGATCCCTGTGGGGCTGCGATCTGCGAGGCTTTTCGTCACTTTCGAGGGCTGCGGGGGGGCAGCACAGTAACGCCATATGCGGACTCATATTAGATCTCACCATCCCTACAATGCTGCGATCAGCAAACCTGTCGCCACTTTCGAAGGTTGCCGCGGGGGGTAGCACACTGACGCCACACGCGGACTCAGATGAGACCTCGCCGTCCCTGGGGGGGCTGCGATCGTCGAAACCGTCTCCACTTTCGAGGGCTGCTAGGCGCGGGGGCAGCACAGTGGCGCCATACGCGGACTCAGATGCGACCTCGCCATCCCTGGGGGGCGGCGATCTGCGAAACTGTAGCCTTTTTCGAGGGCTGCTGGGGGGGGGCAGCGGTGTGACGTCGTACGCGGATTCAGATTAGACCTCGCCAGCCCTGGGGGGCTGCGATCTGCGAAATTGCCACCACGTTCCAGGGCTGCTGGGGGGTCCAGCGGGTTGACGTATTTCGCGGGTCCAGATTAGGCCTCGCCATCCTTGAGGGGGCGGGGGAGGGGGGGCTGCGATCTGCGACACTGTCACAACGTTCGATGGCCGCTGGGGTGGTGGTGGGGGGAGGGGGGTAGCCTGTTCGGGGCCCTGCCCAGATTCAGACTAGACCTCGCCATCCCTGTGGGGCTGCGAGCTGCGAAACTGTAGCCACTTTCGAGGGCTGCTTTTTTGGGGGGGGGGGGGGGGTAGGGCAGCATAGCGGGTGCCCTGCCCAGGTTCAGACCAGACCTCGCCATTCCTGTGATCCGCGGGGCGGACCTGCGCCGCTCGAAGGATGGTCGGGGGCTTGGGGCTTTGCCCAGATGCAGATGCAACCTCGTCATCACTGGAGGGGGGCTGAGATTTGTGAAACCGTCGCCACTTTCGACGGCTACCTGGGGGGGGGGGGGGGGGGGGGCAGCATAGTGGGGGCTTTACACATATCCAGATGAGACAGCGCCATCCTTGGGGGGCTGCGATCTGCAACACTGAGGCCACTTTCGAGGGCTGCGGTGTGGGGGGGAGGAGGGGGGGGGGAGTGGCAACACAGCGGGATGCCCTACTCAGATTCAGATTAGACCTGGCCGCCCTTGAGGGGCTGCGATCGCCGAAAGTGTCGCCACTTTCGAGGGCTTGCTGAGGGGCCCAGCATAGTGGGGGCCGTACCCAGACTTGACCGAAGGCTGCTGTGTGGGGTGGGGTGGGGTGGGAGGCAGCATAATTAGTTGGTACTTTCCACGCACCTAGATTAGACCTCGCCGTTCCCTTTGGGGGGCTGCGATCTGGAAACGTCCTGCCACTTTCGAGGGCTGCTGGGGGTTACATATGTTTTCTTGTCGAGCCAGCGACACCACTAGTCACCACCTCAATCAAGCCCTTGTCCATCGATCGGTGCCCTGCGAGTCGCGCAGCTCTGCGATCCTCCCAAGTTGCATTCGCAACCCATAGAGGTCCTTGTCACTTTATCACCTTCTGCAAATTCTTCCCAGCTCTTCTGGCCACACGTTGTGCAAGGGTCGGGTACATCGTCAGGGCATGTTTTGCCGTGGTGCATATTGTGCATGCTGCACATTCAAGTAGTATGCATGCATGCATGTATGCATGTATGTATGTATATATGTATGTATGCATACATGTATGTGTATATATATAGGTATGTATATATGCGTGCAGGTATGTGTGCATGTATGTATATGTATGCATACATGCATGTATGTATGTATATTCGTACATGCATGTACGTATGTATGTATGCATGCACGTATGTATGCATGCATGCATGTATATTATGTATGTAGGTATGCCTGTACGTATGTATGTATATGTGTATGTGTGTATGTGTGTATGTATGTGTGTCTGCATGTAGGTGTGCATGCATGCATGCATGTAGGTATGCATACACGTATGCATAGCTGTATGTATGCATGCAGGTGTGTATGTCTGTACGCATGTATGCATATTCGTATGTATGTATGCGTGCATACATGTACGTGTGTGTGTACTGTATTGTATTGTACTGTGCATTATTGTATGCATGTGTGTATGCATGTACGCATGCATGCATGTATGCATGTATATATACATATATGTATGTATGTTTGCATGCATCCATGTATGTATGTATGTATGAAATGCATGCATGTATGTATATATGTATATGTATGTATGCATGCATGTATGTATGTATGTATGTATGCATGTATGTATGTATGCATGTATGCATGTATGTATGTATGTATGCATGCATGCATGTATGTATGTATGTACGTACGTACGTACGTACGTATGTATGTATGTATGTATGCATGTATGTATGTATGTATGCATCCATGTATGTATGTATGTATGAAATGCATGCATGTATGTATATATGTATATGTATGTATGCATGCATGTATGTATGTATGTATGTATGCATGTATGTATGTATGTATGCATGTATGCATGTATGTATGTACGTATGTATGTATGTACGTATGTATGCATGTATGTATGAATATATGTATGTATATATGTATGTATGTATGTATGTATGTATGCATGTATGTATGTATGTATGCATGCATGCATGTATGTATGTATGTACGTACGTACGTACGTACGTATGTATGTATGTATGTATGTATATATGTATGTATGTATGTTATGTGTATGCATGTATGTGTGCATTCAAGTATGTATACATATATGAATGCATGCATGCATGCATACATTTATGGATGTATGCATGCATCGATGTATGTATGTATGTATGTATGCATGTATGCATGCATGCATGTATGTGTGTCTGTCTGTCTGTGTGTATTTATGTATGCCTGTGCTTGCGCGGTACGAAAACTGTTCATGTTGAGCACTGACGATTCGGGCGCCTTCGGGCGGGACTCCCTTTTCACCCCTAGACTCCTAGCAGGACGGCATTCGACAGGGCTAGGCGGGGGAACTTGTTCTGGGGTTCTCCCTGGTGTACAAAGAGTATTATATAACCAATTCAGGATAACATCTATTTCCTCCTATCAGTTCACAATGGGCAGGGCACTCCCGGCCGCCTCCACGCAGCTGTAAGTATCTTCCCCGTATGAAGGCGCAGCGAAATAATCATCTCCATACGACTTATTATCACAGCGCCCAAATATGCCACTTGTTGCCAAGATGCATAGCGAGGATGTCTGCATCTATGCCGGTCTGTCTGTCTTTCTGTCTCTATGTATGTATGTTTCTCTCTGTGTATGTATTAATGTATTTACGTGTGTGTATGTATAATGTATGCGTAAACATACAGACGCACATCCATTATACACATATATACATATATATATGTATATGTGTAAATGGCTGTGGACTTTACAACGGATCAGCTAATATCGTGCAGACCAGGTGTTGCATCGACTGCTGATGTGTAAAGATGTGCTCCACATTCTCATGTATGTACGTAGATTAAATGCCCCAGGCAAGGCTTGCACTATCTATATGTCTGCAGACTTCATACAAATCAGTCGCTATACTAGCCCATGTGTTCATATTCACCCGAGCAGCGCATCGTTTGAGCACGGCCCTGTTCTGCGTGCTGGGATTTGCCTCTAGCAGCGCCCGTGTGTCGTGTCCGTGTGGTGCCCGTGAGCCGTGCCGTGCGGTCGTGCCGTGCCGTGCATTGCCCGTCCTCTGGAAGGTGCCTGGCGCGACGGCCGCGTGTTGTGCCCACGCCGTGCCCGTGTGCCGTGCGGTCTTGCCGTGCCGTGCCTTGCCCGTCTTCTGGAACGCGCCAGGCGCGACCGCCGCGTGTTGTGCCCACGCCGTGCCCGCGTGCCGTGCGGTCGTGCCGTGCCGTGCTTTGCCTGTGTTCTGGAACGCACCAGGCTCGCCGCCCGCGTGCCGTGTTCCGCAGTGCCCGTGTGCTGTGCCGTCGTGCCGTGCCACGCGCGTGCGTTGCCTGTGCTCTGGAACACGCTAAGCGCGCCGCCCGCGTGCCGTACCGCGCCGTACCCGTGCGCCGCGCCTTCGTGCCGTGCTTTGCGCGTGCTTTGTCTTTGTTCCGAACGCGCTACAGTCGCCGCCCGCCGCCCGCGTGCTGTGTCCGTGCCGTGCCCGTCGTGCCGTGCCGTCGTCCCGTGTCGCGAGTCGTGGCGTGCCTTGCCCGTCTTGAAGCTCGCCGCCTGCGTGCCGTGTCCGCGCAGTGCCCGGCCATCGTGCCGTGCCGCGCGAGTGCGTTGCTTGTGCTTTGGATCGCGCCGCCCGCGTCGCCCGCGTGCCATGCGGGCGCCGTGCCCGTGCGCCGTGCCGTCGTGCCGTGCCGTGCCGTGCCTTGCCTGCGTTTCGCGCCGCCCGCGTGCCGTGTCCGTGCCGTGCCCGTGTGCTGTGTCCGTGCCGTGCTGTGCCGTCGTGCCGTGCCGTGCGCGCGCCTTGCCCGTGCGCAGTGCCGTCGTGCACTGCCGTGCGTAGGTTTCATAACGCGGACGAAGTTGCAACTCGTTGCCGTGCCGTGCGCTATTCGGGGGCGGCAAGGAGGGGGGTGATGACTAGACTAGGGGGGGTGGATATCATGGCGGGGGCCATGATGTTTCCCCAGATTTCATGGCGCCTCTTCTTGTTTCTTTACGTCCCTGGCCCCCCCGCTGGGCCGCGCACAGGCCGCCGGCCATGATTTGCACCCCCCCCCCTCTTGGACACCCCCCTCCTTGGCCGCTCCCGAGCTATGTGGCGTGAGTCATACGTGGCACACTGTGTGGCGCACATGTGGTGGAAGCTATGTGGTGTAGGCTGTGTGGTGCAAGCGCACGCGGCGTTCACACGAGGCGCCCACGAGCGGGCACGGGCGCCAACGTTCAGGAGGAGAAAAAACACACAGACACAATTCATCGGCGATTCCCAGAAAATATGGGAAAATATGGGAAGTGGGGGGAAGACAAAAAACCCCAAAATATGGGAAACTATAGGGAATATTTATATTTGTGTGTATTTATTTGTGTGTCCCACTTCCCCTTCAAACGTGGCGAAGCCTTGGGAGCGCACCCGGCCCACGGGGCGCTCACGGGGCGCGCCCGCGAGCAGGCGCGGGCGCGAGCGCGGGGCGCATCCTCGGGAAGCCTCGCAGCGCACGGGGCGCCCACGAGACGCCCACGGAGTGGGCACGGGCGCCCGCGGGGCGCCCACGAGCCGGCACGGGCGCCAGCGTGGCGAACGACCGGGAAGAATGTCATTCGATTGTGTAATGCAAGCCCAAGCTCCTCCTCCTCCTCCTCCTCCTCCTCCTCCTCCTCCTCCTCCTCCTCCTCCCAAGCAGGGCAAGGCGAGTTTTTGGAATTGTTGCGCCTCATTCATTGAACAACGTACCCTGCGACGCGTATGACGGACACAGAGGTCTAGACAGCCCCCCGCTTCTTCTGTCCCTCTGGCCATTCCGCTCTTCCGCGTTTGCGTCCGTCCTCTCGCTGCCTGTGGCACCGATGGAATCTCCGAGAGGAATATCGGTCGCAGTAGTTTGTTTTCAAATGAGTGTGGCACAATTGCCAAATGGTCCGTTTGTTTGCTTCTCCGAAGTGTGATGGAGGAGGAGGAGGAGAACGAGGAAGAGGAGGAGGACCAGTGTAAACCCAAGGGTTATCAAGCATGTTGGAATCAATCCTCCCTCCAAGCTTCCTCTTCATAAGCCCCTATAATGGTTCATTTCCATTTGGGGAACTGCCTCGTTGGAAGACAACCTTTTCAAGACCCCGAAGCATGCGTAAACATTGTTCTCGGGATTCCAACGCCACGGGTCAACCTCATTGCTGCGTCTTGACGGTTCAACACCGCGAATCAACATGACTGTTCCGCCCGCATAACCCTGAACCTTTTCAGAACACCACTTCTGGTACGTTGATCATTGCAATCCGAGGAATTCTTGCACATATTACAAAAGAAAGTACGCGGCGCTAAGGCGAGAACCGCGTCTTGAAAAGGAACAGTCCTCAATCCGTGAAGCTGTTGGGAGTGTTTAAACCGAGTGTGCGCGGCGCCACGGCGAGAGTTGCACATTCTTGCACCGAATGTGCGCGGCGCTAAGGCGAGAACCACGTTTTGAAAACGACTCGCCCTCGATCCGTGCAACTCTTGCACATGTTTAAAAGCGCATGTGCGCGGCGCCGAGGCGAGAGCCGCATTCCGACAACGACCCGCCCTCCATCGGAGAAGCTGTTGCCAATTTTTTTAAGCTTCAGAGTCATACGTGGTGAGGAAGTCTCATGCGAAACGCCCGGCCCGCCCTAGAAACTGGCTTCGGGGTGCGACAGGGAGAATTTTTCATAAGGAGAAGGAGTGGAGGAGGAGGAGGAGGAGGAGGAGGAGGAGGAGGAGGAGGAGGAGGAGGAGGAGGAGGAGGAGGGGGAGGAGGACAAGCTAGGTGCGCTCGCGTCATATCTGACATCCTACCCCTCCCTCCCATCCCTTACCATGGCGTAGATCCCCTCTCTACTCGCACAGTCGGATGTCGAGCAGGGCAATGATCCCGAAAGGGTACGCGATGCATTGTAGAGCACGGCATGGCATGGCGTAGAAGAGCACCGCAAAGCGTAGTATCAGCCTAGCATTGCATTGCATGCCGTGGCATGGCACGGGAAATGACGCCAGCGCTGCAGCGGGAGCACGAGTCGAAACGAGCGGAAGCGCGGAAATGAGGCCAGCGCTGCAGCGGGAGCACGATTCGGAACGAGCGGAAGCACGGAAATGAGGCCAGCGCTGCAGCGGGAGCACGATTCGGAACGAGCGGGGCCCGAAAATGAGGCCGGCGCCTCAGCGAGAGCAGCATTTTGAAACAAATGCAGGCGAAAACCCAACTCCGGGGAAACCTGTGTGTAAAAAACAGTACGCGGGGGGGGGGGGGGTCGAGCACTTTCAAACCGTCATCAGGGGAAGAGGGAGAGTAGTATTCATATTGAGTAATTGTGGAGAGGAGGAGGTGGCGCAAGTCTCGGGAAACTGGATGCGACGCAGTCCAGCGCTGGCGTTGGGGTGGGGTGGTGGGGTGCGTGCGAGATCTCCAATCCATGTCCTCTTCTCGGGATCAGTACTGGAGGTGGGAGGAGGGGGGCGGGGCAGGAGGAGGAGGAGGAGGAGGAGGAGGAGGAGGAGGAGGAGGAGGAAGAAGAAAAGGAGGATGAGGATGAGGATGAGGATGCGGATGAGGATGATGGTGATGCTGCTGCTGCTGATGATGATGTTGTTGTTGATGATGATGATGCTGGTGACGATGATGATGATGATGATCATTGATGATGATGCTGATGATGATGACGATGATGCTGATGATGATGATGCTGTTGATGATGATGCTGATGATGATGCTGCTGATGACGATGATGATGAGGATGATGATGCGGGCGAGAAGTGACCTTCAACCCTGCTTCCACGAGAAATGATCACTCCCGGATGTGGGCCGTTTGCCTCAGTTCTCCGCATCATCATAACATGTCAACGCCCTAGAATGATCGTTTTTGTTTTTGTTGCGGTACGATGGCGAAAAACACGCATGTAAAAACAAGACGATCTGGTAAACAAGCGTTTGAGGCTGCAGAACAACTTGCGAATAAAAAGCGAGACGACTTGCATGACGATCGGGCCAGGCTTGCGGAACGACCCGTGGAACGAAACAGGCAAAAACATAACAGATGCGCCGACCCCCCCTGTGACCGACAGTCCCGACTCGGTACCACCTCTCCCCATACCCTTCTGTGTTGCACGCCCGCCCCTCCTCTTCGTGCTGTCTTCTGTGCATTTCTGCCTCCCTATTCTGCCTTCATTCTTTTCCACCCTCCCTCTCCTCTCTTCCGCAGCTCTTGCTGTTATCCCCGTGCCCCCGCCTTTGTAGGAGCGACTACACCATCGCTGGCTTGATAGCATTGTGCTGCAGGCTCAGCCGCAGGCCAGTTCCAGCGCCAGCCCTCTCTGCGCGTATGCCTCATGCTTACCATGAATCGTCCAGTCGCCCCAGTACGTTATATCGTCCGAACATTTGTTTGCATTGCCACCTACATTTCCTGTCATGCACTTTGTGTGCGTTGGTTTCACGCATCAGATTAGTTACTCCCAGTCTACGCGTTGGCTTTCTTGCTCTTCTTGAATATCACTCCCAGTCTATGTGTTCATACTCCTTCTCCCGGTCTTCCACTTAGTCCAGTTCATGTCATTCTTTTTTGGCTTCTCATGTTTGCCTCGTCTCATCTCGTCTCCCCCATCATCTCGTTTCGATGTTTTCCACCATGTTCTCTCCTGAAGTCTCTGAGCCCCTTGCGCGGAAGGGCGCCGACGAGATGCAGCGGGACGTGGATCGGGCCCTGCGCCGCACCAACACCCAGGCCGGAGGGGGGCGCGCGCCCGGCACGGGCGGAGCGCGGGTGGGGGGCGAGATTGACTCTGGCTTCGGGCTCGGGCTGTTTCTGATGGTCCTGGGGGCCCCTTGAAACGGCCCCCGCTCGTATTTCTATTTGTGATCGGCGCGGGCCCTCCCCCCCCCCCCAAGGTTCGGAGCTGTTTCTGATGGTCCTGGGGGCCCTTGAAACGGCCCCCGCTCGTCTCGTATTTTTATTTGTGATCGGCGCGGCCATCACACCCCCCCCCCCAAGGTTCGGAGCTGTTTCTGATGGTCCTGGGGGCCCCTTGAAACGGCCCCCGCTCGTATTTTTACTTGTGATCGGCGCGGGCCCTCGCCCCCCCCCCTTCGATGAGCAACAGGCGAGGTGACAGATCGGACGTCTGACAGCTGCACTTTTCCTCGGCTATTTTTCCACTCCGGTCAACAGGGCTCGAGCGCACGTGCTTTGAACACCCTCTCCAGATCGAAATGCTCGGCTCACACCGCGTGAGGCCGACCGGAATTCTGAACACAAACTTGGACAGTAAAACTTGTTAAGCCGTCGCCCCCCCCCCCCCCTCCCCTATGGAGTAGATCTTGGCTGTTTTGGGCGCCTGTTTCGGGCAGGTGGAGTCTCCCCCACAAGACGCACGGTCGCAAACAGTCGCACTAAGCAGAGGTCCGGGGCCAGACCCCCCCTCCCCCCCGTCCGCCCAATGTTGAAACGCCGAAGAAAAAACGTGCACCGAAGTGGCAGAAAGCATGCCAGGACCGGGAGAAGCAGTCCCCCCGAAGGCTTGCGCCCCCCCCCCGCAGCTTTGTTCGGCACGATCGGCACTGGTACGGAGGGAAGGGGGACGAAGGCTGACAGCAGCTCTTGTCCACACTGAACAGGGTTCGCTGTCGGCACCGCCCGCCGCGGGCGCCGTCCATGTGAGACAGAAGGGCGCCTGCTCAGCAGCGCCCGCTGCCAGTTTTGGACAACACTGGTTGCTGGGCATAGTGCCCATTCTTTCCGCACCCTCTGCGGGCCGTCGTGACTTTTGTCGCGTCGCGGGCATGTCAAGGGAGGAGGAGGAGGCCGCGGAGGAGGAGGTGGAGGAGGAGGAGGATGCGGAGGAGGAGGAGGAGGAGGAGGGGGAGGAGGAGGAGGAGGAGGAGGGGGAGGAGGAGGGGGAGGAGGAGGAGGAGGAGGAGGAGGAGGCGCGCCAACCCCTTCCCCGGAGGCGCTGCTGAACTGCTCTTTCGGGAGGCCGTGGGACGAGCAGCACTGCTGGTTCGCTGGCTTCCGCCTCGAGCCGCAGGCCCGTTGGCCCCCCCCCCGACCGGGGGGCCACGGTGGTGGTGGCGACGGCCAGGGCGGCGGCGGTGAAGTCGGGCGGCGCCGAGGCCAGCCGAGGAGCCAGGCCCGCTGGAGCCGAGGGGGCGCCTTGGGCAGCAAATCGTGGGGGCCTGGTGGGTCCTCGCAATTCCGTTGTCCGAGTGCAGCAGCGCGCGCGCTAGCGTTGTACTTCTCCCGCCCGTGGAGTCGGTGCAAGTATAGGATTTCGCCTCAGTGCATCCAAACATCATTGCCAGATAGTGTGTCCAATCCCTTCTGTTGATCATCATCACTTCCTCCCCCTCGGACAAAAATCCTCAGGCGGGAAGCATAACAAACGTATACTGTACTGGGTACAAGTTTGTGCAGGGCGCATTGGTCGATGTAGGAGGGCGCAGGAGTTCGTAGATCGTCACCAGAGGGTTGTAGATTGATCAGATGTAGAGGGTTGCGGTGGCCATGGCCGGCAAGATTGTTGCCGGGGGGTTCGTAGTGGGTTGTGGGCACCGCCTCCCGAAGGTGGGTGACAGGGCCTGATTGGCCCCAAAGGGGTCGGTGGACTGAGCAGAGGGAGGGGTGGCTTCACTTCTCGTTGCGTCCTCTTTTGGACAGGCCCCCTTCCTTTTGCTTGAACGTTTATTGTTGTTCAGTTCCTCGACTCGAACCTCGAGTGTGCGCCTGGCGAGCTTCCTTGCGTCGGAAGGTGGAAATGGCGGCGCGGCCGCTCTTGTGTTTGCCGGAGGCGCGGTCACAGTCGGGTTGCCCAGGATGCGGCCGCAGCAGCCAAGCGTGCACGCCGTGAGGAGTGCCAAGTGGAGCAGGCTCGGATCGCACACATTCTTGTACCTCATCGCGCAGCAAATTATGAATCGCCTGGCTGTGCGATTTTTTCTATGCTTGGACTCCAGGGCATCTTGCTGCTGTATCCCGCCGTTACATAGATAACATCATCATGGGGGCCTTGCCCGAGCCTACAGAAATTTGAAAGTTATTGCTGCACAGCAGTACTTCGTTGACTTGTGCTACGGCGACGCTGCATTGTCATTGTTTTGGCGCTAGCAGAAATACTTTCAGGGACATTCGATGCAGTTGTCAGCGATGTACGGGTTTACTGAGTGTTGCCGTCGCCACGCGTTCGCCACAGTCGTGCACGAATCGCCTGGCGTTTCGCGGTTGCATTCCACCGATTATGTCGCGTACGATGAAACGTCTTGGAGCTTGAATCAGCTTGCTCGGCGATTCAGGTGCAGGGGAGTGGCAACAGAGGTGGGGCGATGGTTGTGTTACATGCTAATTTCTTGGCTTCGCTGACGACGAACCAGACAGCGGCGCCCACAAACATATTCCAGACAGAGACTATGGGCTTACCTCGTGAGCGAAGATGACGACACCCGACGTTTCTTCATGGTTATCGGGCGCACCGTCTGCCGTGTTCAGCCTTTGATGCACTCCGCCCCTCGTTGTCGGAGTGATGCTCTTCGGGGCTCCGCTGCTGCGTGCCTGGGCGACCTGCAGCTTGATTCGGCTACGCGCGTTGCATCGATCGATCGTCGCCCAAGCTATTTAGCAGTTGAGCGTTGAACGCGCCGATCGCCTTTTCAAGGAGAAAGACACGTTTGGCGCTCTCCCAGTGCATTGCCGTCAGCACATGCTCAAGACCAACAGGAACAGTGCAACTGCAGATTTCGAATTCGCAATCTCTGGCATGATCATCCTTGCACTGTCGTTGACATCGCCAGGCGCCTAGATGACACTCCAGGAATGTTTAATTCGTCACTGGCGCTGCAGGATTAAAACTCGCACTGGCAGGAGCTCACTGGACATCAAATTGTGCAGGCATCTCATTCTGAAGTGTGTTGTGCCTCGAGTGGGTGATTATTGGATTGTCTGCGTTCTCTTGGAAACCTTTGCGAATTGTGATTGGGGTGTGGCCGATGGCGGCGCAGACTTATTGTTGTAGGCCGCGCGATTGTGGGGGTGGGCTTTTGAATTCCCATGGTCGCGTTCTCTCTTCTTCTGCGTCCTCATTCCGTTGCCGTGCCTTCTTGGTTTCCTTTCCCTCATGATCCCCTCTCTCTCCCTCCTGCCCTTTCTTCGTTTGGTCTCCCTTGCCCTCACCAGGTGCATGCTTCCTCCCCCCTTCCTGTCCTTTCTTTGTGCCCCTCCCCCGTCCACCTCTTACCCTCGTCCATCTTTCTTTCATCCCTGTTTCCCCCTTCCATCCCCATCCCCGTTCCCATCCCCGTCCTCATCTCCATCTCCACCTCCATCTCGTTCCCCATCTCTATCTTCATGCCCATCTCCATCTCCATGTCCATCTCCCTCCGACATCCGCGTTTTGCCTGCGGCAATGTTGCCGATACAATATGGATTTGCAATGCCATACGCAGTACATTACAGTATTACATCTACGATCATATCAGACATCGCATGCGCTAGTATATAGGATGTGGTGTATGATGCTAGTAAGTAAGGGATGCGATCATATTCGACCTACGACGGGCACAATACCCACCCACCGAACATTCATTCATCCAAAACCTATGCATCCAATCATCGTTCATGGAAGCCGCATTCATCCAGACATCATTCATCATAGAACTGAGTGCGGCTGTGAGACGGCGGTGGGGAGGGGGGTGGGGTGACGGTGGGGTAGGTGGGGTGGGGAGATATGAAGCGGTTGTGGGGGGTTGTGGGGCAGCGATGGGTGGGGTTGGTTGTGCGACTGTGGGGGGTGGGTGGGTGGGTGGGGCGGGATATGAAACGACTGTGGGCGGGGGTGGTGGGGCGACGGGCGGTGGGGGTGGTTGGCGATTGTGCGTGGGAGAAGGGGGGTGGCCGACGGTGGGCGGGTGGGGTAGGAGGATCATGTACGGGGGGAGGGGTGGGTGGGTGGGTGGGGGGGACGACGATTGTGGTGGGTGGGGCGATTGTGGGTGGGTTGGTGGGCAGGGTGAGGCGCATGGAATCCTTCTGCATTCCGCTACAATCGGGATCCTTTCGTACCCCGCCACGGCAGGAATCCTTCCATAACCCGCAGCAGAAGAGACACATTTGTAATCCGCAAGGACAGCAATCATTTTGTAACCGCGCTGGGGGCGAAACGACCTCCCCCACCCGCGCAAGTAAAGGGAACAAGGGGGCAACCATAGCACGTAATGCGAGAATCCTCAGCACCACAGCGAATAACATGAACTATACGTTCAGCCCTTGAGGGAAGAACAGAAGAAACATGACACATGGACCCGACACTTGGGATCCGCTTGTGACCCGCTACATCAGTAATCCTTGTGTAACCTTCCGCAACAGAAGTCCTTCAGTAACCCGCCACACGACGCATCGCTTGGTATTCCGCCACGGAAGGGTTGCTTTTGCACCCCCGCGTAAGGAACCCTTGTGTACCCGTGACGCACGGATTCCGTCCGTTTCAGCGTGCAGCAGGCGGGATCCTCTTGCAACCCCCACAAAAACCATTCAATGGTTGAAGCCCACCATACAAGAAATACGTTTGCCACCGCCTCGGAGGGAACGGCGCCTTCTTTCCAAAACAAGTCACGGGAAACGATTGGTGGGGGTGGTTGGCGGCTGTGAGTGGGAGAGGAGGGTGGCCGACGGTGGGTGGATGGGGTGGGAGGATTATGGATGGGGGGTGGGGGGTGGGGGGGTGGGGGGTGGGACGGCGATTGTGGTGGGTGGGGCGATTGTGGGTGGGTGGACGGGCAGGGTGAGGCGCATGTAATCCTTTTGCATTCCGCTACAATGGGGATCCTTTCGTACCCCGCCTTTGCAGGAATCCTTTCGTAACCCGCTGCAGAAGGGACCCAATTGTAATCCGCAACGGTAGGGACCCTTTTGTAACCGCGTTGGGGGCGACATGGCCTTCCCCCGCGCAAGTACAGGGAAAGGGAGCAACCATACCACGTAATGCGAAACACTTCAACCCCGGATGTAATATCATGAACAATATGAGCAGCCCTTGAGGTAAGACGCGGGGCATAGGACGCATGGCCGCGACAATCGAGATCCTTTTTGTTATCCGCTACAAAAAGAATCCTGGTATACTTTCCCGCAACAGAAATCCTTTAGTAAACCGTCGCATGGCGAATCGCTTGGTATTCCGCCGCAGAAGGGATGCTTTTGCACCCCCCCACGTAAGGAATCTTGCATAATCGTGACACGGTGAACGCCGTTGTAGCGTGCAACACGGAATCCTCTTGCAATCCGCGCACGCGCAAACACACCGATTTTTTTCAACTCACCACCAAATAATGACGTTTCCCACCCCTGGAGGGAACGGCGCCTTCTTCCCCGAACAAGCCACGGGACACGATGGGTGGGGGTGATGGGCGGCTGTGAGTGGGAGAGGGGGATTGCCGACGGTGGGTGGGTGGAAGGATTCTGGATGGGGGGTGAGTGGGGGGGTGGGGGGGTGGTACGACGATTGTCGTGGGTGGGGCGATTGTGGGTGATTGGGTGTGCAGGGTGAGACGTGTGGAATCCTTCTGCATTCCGCCACAATGGGGGTCCTTCTGTGCCCCGCCACTGCAGGAATCCTTTCGCAACCCGCAACAGGAAGGACCCAGGTGTAATCCGCAACGGCAGGAACCCTGGGGGCGAAAAGGGCCTTCACCCCCGCGCAAGTACAGGGAACAGGTGACAGCCATCACACGTAATGCGGGAATCTTCAGCGCCGCAGCGAATAACAGGACATAGTAGGAACAGCTTCCGGGGGGAAGACTAGAAACATAGGAAGCATGGCCGCGACAATCGGGATCTTTTTGTGATCCGCTACACAAAGAATTCTTGTGTCATCTTCCGCAACAGAAATCCGTGAGTAACCCGCCACAAGACGAACCATTTGGTATTCTGCCACAGAATGGAGAAACACAAACATATTGATTCTTTGTAATCCACCACACATGAAATACTCGGAGGAATCGGCGCCTTCTTTCCCGAACAAGTCACGGGAAACAATGGGTGGGG